GAAAAGGGGGGGTGGTCCATGGGAAAAAAAATTACGCCAACAAAAAAATGGTCCCCCCCCCCCCCCCCCCCCCCCCACCTGTAGTCGGTCCAAAGACATCATCTGGCCTTCGTCCCCCATGGACTTGAGGGTATTCTTAGCTGCCGCCTCGAACACTTTCTCGAGCTTCCCTCTCTTATAGGTGCCGTTGTACTTGATCTGGGGGTCGAGGGCGATGCCGGGACACAGGGCAACGAACAGGGCTCCCGCCTCTGAGGGCCAAGATGGCAGACGCGGCAGCAGCAGCAGCAGCAACAGCAGCAACAACAACTGTGAGTATGGCCATCAAGTCGTCAAGAACATTAGCATCGACAATCAACAGCAACAGCAACAACAAAGCCACAGTGTGAGCTATGATGATCATCAACAACAGTATCATCGACGTCAACAGCCGCAACAGCACCGTTACCATCACCATTACAATGTCGAGATAATGATGATGTCAACAACAAAGTTACCACCAACAGCAACACCAAACAATATAATCGAAAACAACGAAAATAACAACAACAACCTTAGGGTAAGCACTGCGATTAACACTAGCGGAGAGGGGGGTCTCAACCAGTGGGGGGAGGGGTTATCGGTGTATCCGATTTCCCTATTGGCGAGGGTTGCGCTCCTGTACAAAAAAAAAAAAACGCCCGTAACATGCTAGGACAAACATAGAAAAAGGTACCATACACAACCCGAGCTACAAGCAGAACGAAAAGCGGTCGAACAAAATGCAAAATAAGACCCTTATTAACGGAGAGAGATGGGTTTACATTGTGTTGTGATCCGCTCAAAAAAAAAGGCACGCAAGGATAACGGGCGTACCGTCCATGTAGTTGAGAAGAGCATTCGAGGCTGCTGCCGTGCTATCGACGCCCTTGCTGCTCACTGCTGCGTCTGTCAGCCTGACGAAAGAAAACGAAACCAGGAGAGTTGCACGGGAGACACGGGACCAACAAACAATCACGAACATGTTCACAGCGACGTGCCGTAAGGGCGCGGGGGGATATTGCTGTGCCGTACTTTGCTGCTCACCGCTGCGTCTGTCTGCCTGTCGAAAAAAACGAAAAAAATGGGGGGACTCACTGCCGCGTCTGTCAGCCTGTAAAAAAAAAAAAAAAAATGAGGAGAGTTGCACGGGAGAGAGACAGCACCACGAAAAATTCATGAACGCGCTCCCTGCCGTTGCACACAGGGACGTGCCGTAGAAAAGCACGGGGCGAGTCAGGTGTGCCATCCACTATTTTGAGCTCCATGTCTCCGTAATCAAGAGACTAAAACAAAACAAAAAAAGTCTCCGCAACGAGGAGACTGGCTGTCATTTTCTTGATCCGAAACGAAAGGCGTGGTTTCGGAAAGATCTATCTGTCGTCGAGAGAGAGAGAGAGAGAGTTCTTTCCTTGCACGTGTCGGTCTGGTTATCCTATGGGCTGTGGAGCAATCGACCTTTCCTGAAAATCGATGGCCCACCTGCCTATGCGCCTGCCCGCAAACTTGAACGGCTACACACACACACGCTGTTTGCCACTGCACGTATCTACTGCCATCAGCCTTGAACTCACGTGGACATGAAAAAAATGGGCCTGTTTTATTGCTGTCAAATTACGGTTTGACGTGGTGCAGACTTCACTAGATTTTACTGTGGGTTTCGCGCCTGTCTTCCGTCTATTTTCGACCAAACTACCAGCTAAAGCTTACAGAGTAGAGCTGTTGAGCTATCGATGACTGCTTTGTGGCCAAAAGCTTTCGTTTCACCACAGGCAGCACAGAACTTTTTGAGACTGCTTGTTCACGGTGAATAGCTTCTCCCACTACGGGTAGCGCTTAACGTGGACCCATTGACACCGGGTCCCTACCGAAATGATGCAACGAGGATTCATTGACACCTGCACCCTATTCCTAGCGCCAATAAGCAAGCTCACTTGACGACCATGGCGTTTACGACGTCGGCGACGACCTCTGCGCCCTGTTCCAGAGAAAGCCCGGCGGTCTCCATGAGCTCCTTGAGGGCGGACATCCTGCTGGCAGCCGCAGCCTTAGCGCCCTGCGCCCGGGCCGAAGCAAAGAAACACGTTCGAAAAATACACAAGAAAAACATGTATTAGCCTTACATCTCCCCAATGGCAACTACCATGGTAAACAGCAGAAGGTAATTAGTCTAACGACTACCGTAGACGACACAAGATAACACAACCACACAAGAAACCACACCGCCCACAGAATACGACGCCCCGGTGACAATTTTGGGCGTTTCTGACAAACCATCGATTTATCATCAGGGCTACATAAGATAACACACCCCTTGACGTTACGCCGCATACATTCACGAGGCCCCTCCTTGTATCACCGTGGTGATACAGCATCTGCCCCGTGGGCATGCGGGCATCGCACACACACGCAACATCTGCGTAACTCTCTTTTGGTCGTACCCAATAGCAAGGTATGCAGCAGCTACTTTTTGTGTGAGGGGGCAGGACGGTCGACGCACTCTGTGGCCACCGAGGTAGTATGCTCAGGAGTTTTGTCTCCTCCGCTGAGCTTTTGTTTTTACAACATTCCGCAGAACCGCAAGTCATGAAGTGTTCGTACAGGCATTGCTATCACACACCCCCGCAACACCACACCCCTTCAAGTGTGCGGCAGCACCGGTTCAACTCTACAAGCAGTGTTATTACACCCCCAATTTTTTTCACACATCCTCATTATCACACCCCCACTTGTGGGTATTCGGACGTGCTATCACACCCCGTTTCTATCAAACCCTCATTTATCACACCCCAAAAACACACCCTGTGCGTGTTCGGACGTGCAATCGCACACCCTGGTTTATCACACCCCCTTAGGGGCCCGTGCGAGCTGCACTTTATCACCCGGGCTACACAAGATAACACACCCCCCACAGGATACCACGCCCGATATATTTTTAAAGCCCAGAATGTTATCACCGGGCTGTGTTATCTTGTGTCGTCTACGGTATTGTATGGCATGCACGGCTCTGAGTACCCCCCCCTTCCGCCCCTATGCATATATCCACAAGTATGGAAAATAGTCTCCATTTCTCTGCTGACATTGCCTGTACAAAGAACCACAAAACACAAAACACAACCACACGCCTACGGTGCATCAGGCGGTGCGTGAATCGATGGGTCCTTTGACGGTGGCCTCGCAGAATGTAAAAAAAACAACAGGGGGGGGGTGCCGTAGTCGTCAGACCATTGACCTCGCATCCCTGCAAAGCAGGGACGGAGCATGCCGGGTTATCACCGAACCAGGCGAGCACGAGCACACCACCATGCGCGTGTGTGGGGGTGAACTTAAATGAAAAGAGGGAGAAAACGTACCGCTTCTCCTTCGAAGTCCTCTGGAATGATCGTCGCCTCGGCTAGCAGGCTCGGCTCCTTAACGTCGAACTCGCCCTTCGGTGCAGATTCGGCCAGCACCGCGGCCAGCCCTCGTCGGAAGTCGGCCACATTAGGTGACTGACAAACAAAAAAAAAAAACACGCACACATTGACAGACACGCATGAAGAGCTTAGAGCCACAATTGGTGTCTGACAGCATCACACATTTACAGGCACACACGAAGGAGTCGCACTAGGTGTTTCAAGAAAAACAAAAGCATGCATATTTCGTGCGTTCAACCGCACGGAGACTGACGTCTTTTCACTGGTCGGCCGGTTGGCGAGGTCGACGCTAATAATAATAAAAAAAAACACACATTTTTTCACACGCGAACACAAAGGGCTTAGAGCAAGGTTATGTAGGATCTACTGCTGCAGTTTACAAAATTGTGGTCGGTATAGCTCGTCGGTGTAGCTCCACCCAGTGAGCGGTCTGTTGGGTGGTTTTTACCGTAGGTGACGCAAGATGCACCACCTGGACTGACTTGCAGAGCTTGATTTCTCGCCGGCGAAACTAGCGGCGGCGTGGAAAATAGCGGCGCTGGAACCGTCTTGTCGAGAGCTCTCCGAAAACGTATTATCGATTGAGGTTGTTGCATCCTCTTCGTCGTGGAGTGATGGAGCGGCGAAAATCGATCCAGGGGTGTGATATCTTACGTCACCTACGGTAGAGTGGCGGTATGGCAGTTGGTCTCTCGTGGTTGGTCTATTTAGGTAGGACGGCGAAGACAGACGACGAAAGAATAACCGAAGCCTCGTTCGGTCGCCCCGGAAAGTCTAGTTGGTACAGTACCCTCGCAACCTTATAGTGGCCAGTGTCAGGGGTTCGAATCCTCAGGGGTTCGAATCCCGGCGTAAGCGAGCTTTCTCACTTCCGGTTCCTCGTGATGGAAAGCGCTATCATACATAAGTTCGTGTTTACACTTTTGAGGGAATACGAGAGTGCTGTACTCTTCTCGCGTAGGCAAGCACGGCAAGACGGGTGGAGGGAGAGGAACCCTTGGGTTTAACCATCATCACGGATTGGAGCACCTTTCTACCCGGCAGAAACACCGTGAGCGCTGATTTACAGTGATGAGCAACAACAAAAAATAGAGCAAAGAAAAAACAGAGTCCAGAATTTTTTTCCCATGCTCAATGTAAAAAATGCATTCAACGCATCCTCTTCGACTGTGGTTATATCTCCAACAGGTATATCAGTATTTTATCTGATGTATACTCCCGACAGAAAAACAACATAAAACTAGATCGCAGCCTCCTTAACTCACCTCGGCGGAGAGGGCTTCCTGCATGGTCGTGGACCGCTGCGGCCCCGTGTCCCGCTTGAAGAGGCTGAGGATGGGCTTGCGCTTAGATTTCTCGGGCTTGATGGAGTAGGAGGTGGACGGCGCGGGAGTAGGTTCGGCGACGGCGGCAGGTGCCGGTTCGGCCGCAACTGCGGGGTAATTGTTTGGGGAAGAGAGCGATCACGAGAAATAATGTTGTCCACGGGGGTACAATTTACTGACGATAGGTCGGGGGAATAACATTGTAGGCAGGTGTCGGTTCGGCCGCAAGTGCGGGGTAATTGTTTGGGTAAGAGAGGGATCACGAGAAACAGGTTATCCACGGGGGTACGCATACAAATGACTACATACATACAGGTCAGAGGAATACTATTGCAGGCAGGTGCGGTGTCGGTGAGTGGCAGGTGTCATAACTGCGGGGTACAATTGAAATTGTTTGGGGAAGAGGGAGGGTTACTGCTGTGAACGACGGGGGTACCATTTACGTGCAGTAGGTCGAAGGAATTGATGTGAAGGTGCAGGTTAGGCTGTAGAAGAACAAACTGCTGGGAATTTCATTGTTCAGGGAAGAAAATAAAATGTGAGAAATGCCATATGGGCGGGGTTTAGCACACGTTGGCAGGAGGAAAACCGGATCAATAGGGAAGGAACACATTGCTCCGTACTCCTCCCCCCCCTAATGTAATCTCGCTTGACCGACCTGCTCGACAAAGTGTGACACGTAGAGCCTGTTGCAGAGCGGCTGCAACAGGTTCTACGCGTGACATTTCGTAGAACAAATCGTTCAAGCGAGATCAAAATAGAGCGGAGGGGGACTACCGAGCAGCGTGTTCCTTATCGATGATCAGCATGTGCGGCGCTGACAAATTCCTACTCTTACATCGGTCCGCCGCAATCACAACGAGATGTGCCCAGCCCAGGAACGGTCAACCACTCAAAAGCCTCTGGCAACGAAACCGACAAAATTGAACCGACGACAGTTACACCGCCCCCCCCCCCAAACGACAGAGAGGTAGGTGCCCGTAGCAGCACGGAGTAAATGCCTCCATCACAACAAACGCCCCGCGGGGCGCTAAAAAATGGAGAACGCGTGTCGGGGCGCCTAACCCAGAAGACCTTTTCATATGATATTAGTACAAGGATTCCTTGATTGAGCACCTGTTCTTACGGTCAAGATCTCCAGCTGCGGAAGGTCTTTCTGAGCCATGAGCCATTAGTACAAGGATTCCTTGATTGAGCACCTGTTCTTACGGTCAAGATCTCCAGCTGCGGAAGGTCTTTCTGAGCCCGAAGTTATTGTCTCGCAGGTTCGCAAGCTACGGCGCTCTCGGTAACCACGCACACACAAAAGCCACATACCTCCACACCAGCAGACTGCTGTATACCACGCGCTTGTGTAGAACTCAAGGATGCATTTGTCGAACACAGAATCTTGGTGCGGGCAGCATTGATACCATCCATTTAGTAGCAAAACTCAAGCCACCACAACAATGCCTGCCAAATGACCACTCACCAGCAGGGGGGGCGGCGGCAACAGCCTCAACCGGCGCGGGTCCCGCCGCACTTTCAGCCTCAGCGGTTACGCCTTCCGCCTCTGCTGCTGCTGCTGCGGCGGCGGCGGAATCAGACGCCGCCGCCACGGCCTGCGGGACGGGCGTGGACGGGGGGGGTGATCTTATGCTTTGCATGACTTAGCTGACAGACCATAGACCACGCGTCCTCGATAGGACGGAGCGAGGACGGAGCATTGTTCCCACAGGACCGATCACCGATGGCCAATCGGGAGGGGGGTGTACTCATAGTCGTGCATGCCGTAGTCGTTAGACCATTGACGTCGCATGCCTACAATGCCGGGACGGAGCGACATGACGGGTTTTCACCGGGCCAGGATACGTTTCACAAGGACAACGATAAACCAGAGAGGGGGACGGGGTACTGATATTTCATTGCATGCCTTAGCGGGTACATAGACCATTGACCACGCGTCCTCTCCAGAGGACGGAGCATTGCTCTCACGGGACCGATCGCCGATGGCCAATCGTCCCTTATCCTGTCTCTATCACTAGTCGCCTTTTGGTTGGGAGGGGGGGATCTTGACAAATAAAAGCCTACGCTCTCTACAATAATCTCTACAAATGGAAAACACCCCAGGAGGGTAAAAAAAAAAAGGTCTAAAAATAGCCTGCTCTAGTCACAGGATTTCGGGTGGAATTCCTGTGTTCAAAACTCTTCGAAAAAAACCGTGCATTCACTAAGACTCCTACCCACGAAGACAAAAAAAACGCTTTCATGCGCGACCAACAACAGTAGCAGTAGTAGCAGCAGCAGCAGCAGTAGCAGCAGTAGCAGCAGTAGCAGTAGTAGCAGTAGTAGCAGCAGTAACACTTACCCCCTTCATTGCATCGGCCGGGGAAGGGGACGGTTCCGCCGCCGGAGGTGCCGGTGGCGGCGGTCTAGCCGGCAAGTCGCTTACTGTAGATGTCGTGGATGTCGTCGTGTACATGTCGTAGATATCGTAGATGTTGTCGATGGTAATTGTGTCGGTGGTGATGGCGGCGGTGGCAGTGATAGTTGTTGTTGATGTTGTTGACAACGGAGGATCAATGCGGCACAACTTGCCACCACGATGGTAAACGTGCATATTCAGCACAGGGTGTGGTGGATACGGAATAGGAATAGACAGAACACCGGGGGACTCCCAGTCTTCCCTCCTCACAACAAGACCACGTTGTCCATAAAAAAAAAAAACTACAGAACGCATGGGACGTGCTGACGTCTGTTCATTGCTAGCGCGGTCGATGCCATTTCAATACAAACATAAGCATATGTATATGACTTTCAGTAGTGTTTTGGTTCTTCTGTTTTCCACCGCACTGCGACTCACGTCTTTTCATTGGTCAGACGGCTAGCGCGGTCGACGCTAATAATAACAGTAAATAAAACACACAGAGGTACACTTATTCCCTCCCTCACCGGCGTCGCCGAAGAGGTCGAGGTCCACGTCAAAGTTGGCGCTCTTGAGGCTATCCGCCCGCTTCTTCAGGTCGGCCGCCGCCACCTCCGGCGAAACCCGGGGCTGTCCGATCCCCGCTAGCGGAGACTTAGGGGCAGCACCGCCCCCTCCCCCTCCTCTCCGTCGTCTATTTCATGTGTTACGAAAGACATTGCGTGGGCCTTAGGGTAATACTCAAAAATGAGACGCAACAATTATCTTTTAAAATGACTGACGACACTAGCGAGATTTTTTTTCTTCAAGTTTAGAACCAACCATGCGAGATGGAATCAGGTGAACAGCAGGCGGGGGGGGTGGTGATTCTCACAAGTAAATACCCATGCGGCAAGCAGTGACACACACAAGCGTGACGTGATCTTGGTTGCGAATCTAGCCTTGATGCGGGGTAACCTAATCTACCCGCCAATCCCTTGTCCCCGTCTCACCTCCGGCCTCCACCCCGGCCACGTTTACCGCCGTTCTGGACCAGCAGGTACCTAGACCCGATCACCCCGGCAACCACCACCGCTACCACCTGCGGAACCCCCAAGGGCGGGGGAGGAGGTTCCGACCGCAATCGGGGGGTCAGAGCAGAATGAACGCAACAGAAACAAGAAACAAGTGCTGGGCGTTCTCAGCGTCAATACCATCAGGCCAGAGAGAGAGAGAAACGCTTGAAAATGGCCTGAATCGAGAGGGCGAAGCCGACACGACGTTGAACCTGAAAGCCTTTCGTCGCTCAACACTATGTCTTTTCGTTAGTGGTTGACACCAATTGGTGGGAGCAGCTTCTTGTCTTGTTCGAAATCGTTTATTTTTTCTTCGGAAGTAAGAAGGAGGAGGAGATTCGGAAGGTGGCCACAACGTTCTATCACTGCGTTGCAGACGAAGCAAGAGAGAGACACACACCAAAACAGGGCATTCTGTGAGTGATAGCAGATATCTAGATACCTTCGGAAGCGTTCTGTAGGATCCATGCGTTCGCAATCAAAGTGTAACATTGATACATCCGTTCCGAGAACCGTTGACACTTGGGACACAACACTGATGCAAAAACGGGCCGGCCTTCCATGTGCCACTAGCTGGCAGGGGCGGGCGGGGACCCCCAATACCCCCGTGCTCTTCTCGGGATCTCTCTCCTTGCACAACAAACATGGACGGAGACAAATCTGTCCGCCCGCGGTGCATGTAGCGGGGCTACAGCCACCTCGAACTTGGGGGCTGTTCCACCCTATCGCCGCCTCACGAAGGAACCCAAGGCCGTCAATACCGTGGATTGCTCAATCTTTGGTATCCTAGCGCCATCAGGAAGCTCGTTTGGTACTACTCCCCAGTATAACACTCTGTTTGGGTGTACAGTAGTAGGCCTGGTGAGATCACGGAAGGTGTCCGCGTCGGCTGGATCGGTACTAGGGAGACATGGGAATGTTTTATTAACGTTAAGACAACGGCAATCAACGAACTACAAGGACATAGTTGACGTCAAGAGGGTCGTGAGGGCAGCAGGGTAGGCGTGAACCAAAGGTAGCTTGGTATTGAGAGCGACGACAACACCCGTCGTGCGTAGATAGCGCGAGCGAACTCACAGGTAAGCGTGCGGTCGAATTTTCTTAAAAGCTCGAGTGCTCCACGTACAGCCCCCAAGAGGGCAGCCACAACAACTGCCGACAAAAACACGTCGGCGTTGAAAAGAGCTCTTCGTCTAGAGAGAGAGGTTCCTTCCCTTGTGAGTGTGTGAGTAGGGTCTCGATATCATCTCCATGGTTGTGGAGAAATCGAGCTTTCGTAAACAACGCGGTCCTGTCTGTGGCCTTCGCCGGCGCTTTCATGATGTTACCTACCGTCGCTCGCAGTGCCTACCAGCCTACCGTTAGCACCGTTAGTTCACGCCTGCCTTGCCGCCTTGGCGGCCCTCGTCATGTCAACTCCCTCCCTGGAAATAATTCGCTGAATGTCGCTATCTACTTCTTCTTTTCCGTCGACAACAAAGAGCAAACTGTATGGCCGTAGTTTTTCCCCACCTTGTGGTCGATCTTGGTTGCGTGATACTATGCATACCCCACAGAGAAACACAAGAAACGAGCTCCCGGGAGCAAAGTTAAAAAAAGTCAACAAGTGACTCGTGCTAAATAGGCGTTCTGCCCTCTTTGTTGGAAAAGCTGAAAAATCAAGAAGTGGTTCTTCGAGTGGTTTTGTACTGTAGCGCGCGTTCTGTACACACCTCTTTGTTTTCGACCACCAGGTCCTTCACGCTACCCACGGTAGACAGGCCTCCCGCCGCCCTCCCTTGGTCCTCTTCCGAGGCAGTCGTCGTCGTCACCAACCCCCCAACAGCATCCCCGCCCTCCGATACCGCCGCCGGGGTTTCCAACCCTTCGAGGGCCTCCCCGATCTCCGAGAGCACTTCTCCCGCCGCTTCTCCAGCTTTGTCTATTGCCTGGTTTTTTTGGGGGGGGTTACGCCATATTACCGGAGGAGGCGGGGGGGGGGTGAGGCCGCAGCGTCCAGGAAAGAGAGGGAGCCAGCGGGATGGACATCAGGGTATCATCGGGGCTTGTGTTCGAGTGGGGTAGGGGGAGGCGACGGATACCACTTGTAATGAACACACATCAAGAAGGGTACATCATTAACAACAAAGACATGAAGAACGATATCATCGCCACCACCACCGCCAATACCAACTTCAACAACACCAACGACAACGTCAACAGCAACAGCAGCAGCAGCAACATCGACAACGACAACGCGAACAACAGCAATAGCAACAACAACGACATAAAAAACAAGCAAACGGCATGAT